CACCTGATCACTACTAGCTATTGCCTGATAGACCCCTGATATCCCCTAAAGGAATGTAACTGCAATAACAAACAAGCTTATTTGCCAGTATAACTTCCTTGTTCCTGGTCCCTTCTGCCTATAAAAATTTTTCATTTTGTATAGCTTCGCAGATCTTTCTTTGGCTAGACTAGATGCTGCCCAGTTTGAATTGATTTTTGCTCAGTTTATCTTTTAACAAGACCTACTGCAATAACCTGCAGTGAGTCTTTACATTCTCTTCCTCCGTGTCTATATCATTAACTGGAGTGGTCACTGACAAATGATGCTTAGAGCATGAGGCTGGTTCTTAAGTGACCAAGTGACTTCCTAGTCTTCAAATCCAGAAAAATCTGCATTGATCCCTAATATATTTGTCAGATGAGTCTAAGTTTTAGGATTTCATTAGGCTTTTGCCTAAATATCTAATTTCTTCCCTTTCCATGAATTAAGAACATATCTCAATAAATGTTAGAATGACTAACTGCTCTTGATCACCAGGGATTTTTCTATCTGTATTTATGGCTATGGCAGAAGGAAAGTAGTTTTATTTTCTTGATAGTGTAGGTGAGTGAATAACCACCACAATAAGCTTTCCTTAATATTACAAGACCACCAACCCCACTGATGGAACTTATTGGGAATCTCAACAGTGATGGTCAAAGACGATTTGTCCCCATTATCACTGAAAACCAGCAACCAAGTTAGCTCCACACCTGGCCAGATGATCCATAGGCATTGTGACTTTGTCTTTTGTTTCAGTACAAAATTTAGGATGTGTCTAGGTAGTCTTCATTATATTTATTTATATTGTTTTCTTTTTGGCTTGCTGAGTTTTGTTTTGTTTTTTAATTTGACTTATGTTATACTTAATTAGATGTGGATAAAAGAAGTATTAAAATATTTACATTACCATAGACAGTTCTCCCATAACTCCATTGACTTGGAGCAGTCAATCCCATTAGTTTCTGAAACTTCTAATCCTGTCACAACACATTATTTTTGCCCACTACTGAAATTCACATGAATGAATCATAGATTTTGGATCCTTTTTGATTGTAGATTTTTTGCTTATATTTTTGATATTCAACTGCAACTGCATGATTGAACATATCTGTAGTTCATTGGTATTTATTGTGGAGTAGTATTTCTTTGTATGAATATAATATTGTTTATTCATGGAATTATTAATGAACATTTAGGTTGTTTTTGGTTTCAAGTATGAAAAATGCTTCTAAAGAACATCTTTTTTTTCTATTTTTAGGAATAGAATTGCTGGGTCATATGTTAATTGTACTGTTAAATTTGTAACAAAACATCAATCTGCATTTTAAAATCCTTGTAATATTTTACATTCCAACCATCTATGTATGAGAGGCAGTTGTTCCTTATTCTTACCAACTTTTGTTACTGCCAGTCTCTTTCATTTTAGTAATTTCAATGTGTGCTTGTATTTCACTGTAGTTTTAATTTGTATTTCCCTGATGACTAATCATACTAGACAGTGTCTCATGTGATTGTGCAACATTCATATGTCTATGTCTCCTTTTTGAATGTTCACATATTTTACATATTTTGATGGGATTGTTTGTTTTTTTATTATATAGTTATAGGAATTCTTAATATAAACTATATGCAAATCTTTTTCAGATTTTCTCCCAGTATGTGGTATGGTTTGTACTTTGTGTCTTATCAATCCCAAGGTTGTGAAACTTTCTCATAAGTTTTCTTTTAGAAGTTTACTGATTTTAGCTTTGATGTGTATGCCTATGATACATTTTAAGTAATTTTTGTTGGTTAAGTATTAGGGCATATTTTTTCTCTATATGTATATCTAATATCTCTAGCCCCATTTGTTGGAAAACTATCCTTTTTCCCATTGAATTACTATGCTACCTTTATTGAAAAACAGTTCACATACTTTGTGTTTTATTGATCCATACATGTATCCTTACACCAGTACCATCCCTTCTTACCCTGATTCACAAAATTAAGTAAATTGTATCTTCATATTTCGTACTTTTTTTGAAGATAGATTTGGTGATTTTTAGGTCTTTGTATTTCTGTGTAAAACTTGGAATCATTTTTCCATTTCTACCCATATCCCCTAAAAAATAAAAAATAAAAAAAAAACTGCAAAATTTTGATTCGGTTTTTTTTTTTTGGATCTATACATGAATTTGTGGGGAACTAATGTATTCATAATGTGATTTTCAAACTATGAACATTGTATATCATTCCATTTAGTTAGATGTCTCTAATTAAATTAAAACCTAAATATTTCATATTTCTGAACGTTATTGTAAATTGTGTACCGTTTAAAAAATCCATTTCCAGTGTCTTTTGCAGGCATATAGAAATAGAATTAAATCATGAAAGTTGATTCCTCTGATAACCAGTTTAACATTACTATGAATGATCCATATTTTGGAAAATACCTGCGAAATTGTCTAAATTAAATGATCAAATAATCCTAGTGAATATCTGAAAAAAGAATAAAATTTTGGAGTTTATTCCAGAAGTAGAGAAACATTTCAGTACTTCTCAACATATATCAAAATCAACAAGAGACAAAAATTATGATATTAAATATTGAAGAGACATTTGATAAAAGTTTGGACAACTAGAAGTAAAAAATATATCCTTTTTGATTTCTCTAGTTTCTCAATGGCATACCACAGTTACCTATTTTATTTCTTTTTAAGATTTTATTTATTTGAGAGACAGAGGGAGAGAGAGAGCTAGAGAGCACAAGCAGGGGGGAAGGAGAAGCAGGCTCCCCACAGAGCAGGGAGACTGATGCGGGACTCGGTCTCAGGGATCTGACATCATGACCTGAGCTGAAGGCAGCCATTTAACCGACTGAGCCACCCAGAGTCCCTAACAGTTACCTATTTTTAAAAATTTTCACATCCAGTCCCTTAGTGGGATCCATTTTTTAAAAAAAAACTTTTTTGAAGATTTTATTTATTTGACAGAGAGAGACACAGTGAGAGAAGGAACACAAGCAGGGGGAGTGGGAAAGGGAGAAGCAGGCTTCCCGTGGAGCAGGGAACCCGATGCGGGGCTGGACCCCAGGACACTGGGATCATGACCTGAGCCAAAGGCAGACGCTTAATTACTGAGCCACCCAGGCGCCCCGTGGGATCCATTTTTAAACCACGATTCATTGAATATCAATTTCTAAGCTCAGCATTTAGCGTAGCTTTCCAGTATACATTGAATATTGTCAGAAAATGCTCTTCACTGTAGGCTTTGTCTTTGATTCTAGCCTTTGGAGGCTTTCCCTTTCATGTCATTGATTTTTTTTTTCCTCCCAACATTAATATTTAGTGTGTGTTCAATCTTCTGTCTTTACTAAATACTCTTGATAATTTTTATTAAAATCTTTCTATTATGAAGCATAATACATTATTTTTAATAATGAAACTTGAAAATGGAAAAATGCCCAACTCCTGTAAATACTAAAACTTATATAATAACATTTTTAAAATTTTATTTATTTATTTGACACAGAGAGATAGCGAGAGAGAACAGGCACAAACAGGAGGAGTGGTAGGCAGAGGCAGAGGGAGAAGCAGGCTCCCCACTGAGCAGGGAGCCCAATGCGGGGACTCCATCCCAGGACCCCGGGATCATGACCTGAGCCAAAGGCAGACGCTTAACTGACTGAGCCACCCAGGCACCCAATAATAACATTTTTAAATAAACTTTAGTATATGCAGTTAATGTAATTGAAGATATTGACATTGTATCTAATTTTATATAGCATATTTATATAACAATCCAGGTATTACAAAAGATCAGGAGTAAATTATTATTCTATTAAAGCAACTGATAAATTTAACTTCTGTTTTGGGAAAGAGATACATCATTATAGCTTCCTTCACAACACACCACTCAAACCTAACACAGACATTTTACTCACATATTTACTGGGGTTAGGGTGGAAGAAAGTTTTATCCATAAACTCAAGAACAAACCACAAAAAAAGATGATAGTTCTCAGATAGTTCTACCATTTCACAATCTCACAATATCTAAAATTTACCCAAACAAACAAATAAACCCAAAATGCACCAAAACAAAAGTCAGTTGTCAATGACAAATTATAAAACATAGTAAACATATATTAGTGGCCAAGGGTTAATATAATTAATATAAAAGTGCTTATGAATAGAGGAAATAAACAGAATGCCTTAACAGAAATATATGCATAGAAATATAAACCAGAATATGTGTTTTTTAAAATTTATAGCTCATTAGTAACTAAAATAATAAAATTGAAACAGATGTAAGCACTTAGTTATTTTCACTTATCACACCTATCACTCTACTAATTTTTAAATATTACTAACAGTCTTGTGAAATATCACTCTTGCACTGAATAGATAAGTATATAGAAAGAAGGAAATAAGAGTATGTTATAGTCTTTAATATTTTTGTACTCTATGACCTAATAACTTCTAGAATTAATCTTTAATATAAAATCTTGGAGATAAAAATAAATAATAATAATAAAATTTTTATTGAAACATCCTTTAAATAATAAAATGTTATAATTTAGAAACCTCTATTTTGTCACATTCATAAATTTTTATGGGTTCTCAAAATGATATCTTGAGGAGAATTGATGAGATGAAAAAGTACTTATGATATAATAAATGGAAAAATACTTTTAAATTTACAGTGCATATATTTATGAACACAAAGAAGATTGACAGAAATTACATTAAATTTTTAACAGTTCAGTTTCTATGGAATTATTTATGGAATCATAAATAATTTCATTACTATCTTCTTTTCCTATACTGGAAATATATTAGTTTTAAATGAAATGGTGTTAAAAATAAATACAGAAGTAAAAATCATACTGTGATTGTAATTAACTAAGAGACATACTAGAGTACATTTTGACAATAAATAAAATGATTTATATGATTGAAAATTCCTATTATTGAACTTGATTATATTTACCTTTAGCATTGCAAACAATTTGGAAAATGCTGTAATCCTGCAGATTGTACTCTGACTGAATTTGCAGAGTGTGGCACTGGAGTATGCTGTGATAAAGAAACTTGTCTGGTAAGCTTTCAAATTACTACAGTATTTTCTTTCATGGTTTTTTTCTGTTCTTGTGCATTCACTTATTTTTTTTTTACTTTTTCTTTACACAACTTTCAAATATATAACTTTAAATACTTGATTCATACACAGTTGACTTCAGAATTCAGAAGATGTTCTTAGATTTTTTTCAACTTCTTTCTTATCTTTGCCTTCACTGTATTCCAATCTCTACTCAAGATCCATCCAGTTACCCAATACCAACTCCAGATTATTTGGGCACTATGGATTCCTCTTGGTCATACCTGAGGCCATACCTGAATGTAGCTCTTCATGACCCAACAACTTATGACAAAATTACAAATAAGCCACCCAACACACAGTTGACATACAATGTTTGAATAAACAAACAGTAATAATAATCTCATTTTGAGAACAGCAGAAAAGGAGTCCATGTAGAATAGTCAACAACATGTAGCATGTCTAATACTGAAGTTTAACTTTGCAAGGACTCCTGGTCCCAGAAGTAGATTGAATCCTTGACTTCCCTCGGGACGTTTTCCATTCAATTTTCCTTTATAGCTACACCTGAAGGGAGACTGAGTAAGATTTTAGCATCTTGCCTTTTCTGTGTCATTTTCAGGAGTCAACGACAATTATAGAAGCTGATTAATTAGAGATCTTGATTGCCAGATTTCAGATTTGCCAGTTTCTCTGTCAATGAAATCTCTTCTAATGTCATTCTACTTTGTTCTATGTGTGTTCTTTTTCACTCTATGTGCTAGTAACTAAAGCCAATGGTACTTGTCTTCAAGGAGCATGAACATAGAGGCAAGCCTAGAGTTTCTGCCACTTAGCAATAAACCTTGTTGCTCTTCCCTTCACCAGAGCTCTCATCTTGGCCTTTGTCTCCAAATCAGCAGGATTGAGCAATAAGGCTTTTCTACACAGTCCCTTGCCCCTTTCCCTTACACACAGGGATAATTCCTACATTTGGTAGGGCCTTTAAAAAATTAAGGTGAAAATCATGTACCATAACATTTGCCATTTTCAGGTGAACAATTTAGTGGCATTCAGTACATTCACAATGTTGTGCAACTGCCACCTCTATCTAGTTCCAAAACATGTTCCTCACTCAAACAGGAGACTCCCAGCCCTTTAGCCCTTGTTCTCCTTTCTCCCTTCCCCTCAGTCCCTGGCAACCACCAACTTGTGTTCTGTCTGGAGTAAACTATTCTGGATATTTCACGTAAGTAGAAGCATAGAATATGTGACCTTTTGTGTCTGGCTTTCTTCACTTAACATAATGTTGGAGGTTCATCCACCTTGTAGCATATGTATCAGTGTTCCTTTAAATGGCTGAAAATATTCCATTGTATGAATATACCACGATTTGTTAATCTAGTCATCCATTGATGGACATTTGGGTTTTTTCCAATCTGTTTCACCGGAGCTTTTAAGTAAATTCATAATTTGACTTTAGTTAAAAATGTAATAATAATGGAAATGACAGGAATACATTGCTCTTGTTTAAGTTATTTTATATTTTTGGTTTACTACTTTACAAAAATAATTGTTCTTCTTTCTCCCACAGATATCTGTAAAAGGAACTGTATGTCGGGAAAGCAAAGACCCATGTGATTTTCCAGAATTTTGCAATGGAAGAAGTGAATTTTGTGTACCAGATGTGAAATCTGCTGATTTAGAACCATGCAATAATAAGACTGCCTATTGCTATCATGGAGTATGCCAAGATCCAGATAAACAGTGTGCAGACTTATTTGGAAAATGTAATAGTTGTACTTTTTTCTGGGGTTCATTTTCATTATTTTATCTTATATTTTTCCCAGTAAAGTTAACATACAGAGTTATATTAGTTTCAGGTGTAAAATACAGTGATTTAACAATTTTATGCATTACTCATTGCTCAGCATGATAAGTGTACTCTAATCCCCGTCACCTATTTCACCCATCCCCACCTATCTCCCCTCTGGTAACCATCAATTTGTTCTCTGTAGTTAAGAGTCTGTTTCTTGGTTTTCATCTCTCTCTCTTTTTTTCTTCCCTCTGTTAGTTTGTTTTGTTTCTTAAATTTCACATGTGAGTGAAATCATGTGATCTTTGTCTTTCTAAGATTGACTTATTTTGCTTAGCATTGTTGCTGAATTCCTGTATCACTTCTAGCAATTTTTTGCTGGAGTCTTTTGGGTTTTCCACATAGAGTATCATGTTATCTGCAAAGAGTGAGAGTTTGACTTCTTTGCCAATTCAGATGCCTTTTACTTCTTTTTGTTATCTGCTGGCTGAGGTTAGGACTTCTAGTACTATGTTGAACAACAGTGGTGACAGTGGACATCCTTGCCATGTTCCTGACCCTAGGGGAAATGCTGTCAGTTTTTTTTCCCATTGAGAATGATATTTGTTGAGGGTTTTTTGTGTATAGCTTTTATGATATTGAGGTATGTTACTTCTATCCCTATACTGTGAAGAGTTTTAATCAAGAAAGGATGCTGTACTTTGTCAAATGCTTTTTCAGCATCTACTGAGAGGATCATATGGTTCTTGTGCTTTCTTTCCTTAATATAATGTTTGATTGATTGATTTGTGGATGTTGAACCACCCTTGCATCCCAGGAATAAATCCCACTCGGTCGTGGTGAATAATGCTTTTAATGACTGTTGGATCCTATTGGCTAGTATCTTGTTGAGAATTTTTGTGTCCATGTTCATCAGGGATATTGGTCTGTAATTTTCTTTTTTCATTGGGTCTTTGTCTGCTTTTGGGATCAAGGTAATGCTGGCCTCATAGAAAGAGTTTGGAAGTTTTCCTTCCATTTCTATTTTTTGAAGCAGCTGATAATAGGTATAATTCTTTAAATGTTTGGTAGAATTCCCTTGGGAAGCCATCTGGTCCTGAGCTCTTGTTTTTTGGGAGATTTTTGATTAGTGCTTCAATTTCCTTGCTGGTTATGGGTCTGTTCAGGTTTTCTATTTCTTCCTGGTTCAGTTTTGGTAGTTTATAAAACATCTTTAAGAATGCATCCATTTCTTCCAGATTGTCTAATTTGTTGGCATATAGCTGCTTATAATACGTTCTTATAATTGTTTGTATTTCTTTGGTGTTGGTTGTGATCTCTCCTCTTTTCATTCATGATTTTATTTATTTGTGTCCTTTCTCTTTTCTTTTGGATAAATATGCCCAGGGGTTTATCAATCTTATTAATTCTTTCAAAGAACCAGCTTCTAGTTTCTTGATCTGTTCTACTGTTCTTTTGGTTTTTATTTTATTAATTTCTGCTCTAATCTTTATTAATTCTCTTCTCCTGCTGGTTTTAAGCTTTATTTGCTGTTCTTTCTCCAGCTCCTTTAGGTGTAGGGTTAGGTTGTGTATCTGAGACCTTTCTTGTTTCTTGAGAAAGGCTTATATTGCTATATACTTCTCTCTTAGGACTGACTTCACTGCATCCCAATGGTTTTGAACATTTGTGTTTTCATTTTCATTTGTTTCCATGATTATTTTTTAAATTCTTCTTAAATTTCCTGGTTGACCCATTCATTCTTTAGTAGGATGCTCTTTAGCCTCCATGTATGAGTTCTTTCCAAATTTCTTTTGTGATTGGGTTCAAGTTTGAAAGCACTGCAGTCTGAAAACATGCAGGGAATGATCCCAATCTTTTGGTACCAGTTGAGACCTGATTTGTGACCCAGTATGTGATCTATTCTGGTGAATGTTCCATGTGCACTCGAGAAGAATGTGTATTCTGTTGCTTTAGGATAGAATAGTCTGAATATGTCTGTGAAGTCCATCTGGTCCAGTGTGTCATTCAAAGCCCTTATTTCCTTATTGATCTTCTGCTTAAATGATATGTCCATTGCTATGAGTGGGGTGTTAATGTCCCCTACTATTATTGTATTATTATAAATGTGTTTTTATTTGGTTTGTATAATTGGCTGTTCCTATGTTATGGGCATGAATATTTATGATTATTAGATCCTCTTGTTGGATAGAACCTTTTATTATGATATAGTGTCCTTCCTCATCTTTTATTACAGTCTTCGGTTTAAAATCTACTTTGTCCTATGTAAGGATTGCTACCCCAGCTTTCTTTTGATGTCCATTAGCATGATACATTGTTCTCCACCACCTCATTCTCAATCTGGAGGTGTCTGTGGGTCTAAAATGAGTCTCTTGCAGATGGCATATTGATGGGTCTTCCTTTTTTATCCAATCTGATACCCTGTGTCTTTTGTTTGGGGACATTTAGCCCATTTATGTTCAGAGTGATTATTGAAAGATATGAATCTAGGCCATTGTATTACCTATAAAATGACTATTTCTGTATATTGTGTCTGTTCCTTTCTGGTCTTTGTTTGTTACATTTGGGCTCTGTCTATGCTTAAAGGATTCCCTTTAATATTTCTTGTAGGGCTGGTTTAGTGATCACAAATTCTTTTAGTTTCTATTTGTCCTAGAAGCTTTTAATCTCTGCTTCTCTAAATGACAGCCATGTTGGATAAAATATTCTTGGCTGCATATTTTTCTCATTTAGCACCCTGAATATATCATGCAGTCCTTTCTGGCCTGCCAGGTCTCTGTGGACAGGTCTTCTTCCAGTCTAATGTTTCTACCCTTGTAGGTTACAGACCTCTTGTTTCAAGCTGCTTTCAGGATTTTCTCTGTCTCTGAAATTTGCAAGTTTCACTGTTATATATGAAGATGTTGACCTATTTTTATTGATTTTGAGGGAGGTTCTCTGTGAGCCCTGGACTTGAATGCCTGTTTCCTTCCTCAAATTAGGGAAGTTCTCCACTATAATTTGCTCCAATATACCTTCACTTTCCTCTTCTTCTGGGACCCCAGTTCTAATATTCACTTTCACTTTATGTTATGACTTATATCTCAAATTCTCCCCTTGTGATCCAGTAGTTGTTTATCTTTTCTTCTCAGCTTCTTTATTCTCCATCATTTTGTCTTCTATATTATTAATTCTGTCTTCTGCCTCATTTATGCTAGCAGTTAGAGCCTCCTTTTTTTATTGCATCTCATTTTAGCCTTTTTTATTTCAACTTGATTAGATTTAGTTCTTTTATTTCTCCAGAAAGGGATTCTCTATTGTCTTCTATGCTTTTTGCAAGCCCAGCTAACATCTTTACTATAATTGTTATTCTGAACTCTCGTTCCAAAATCTTAATTATACCCACACTGATTAGGTCCCTGTCAGTCAGTACTGCCTCTTGTTCTCTTTTTTGATGTGAGTTTTTCCTTCCTGTCATTCTGCCCAGAGAAGAATAGATGAATGGGAGAACAAAATACTAAAATGGCAACAACGACTCCAGAGAAATGTACACTAAACAAATCAGCAGAGACCTGAAACTGAAAAACAAAATTAAAATTAAAAGAATATAATCAGACAGGTGAACAGAACAGAACAATACACTGGATCCTGTGTTATTTTGCTCTGTTTGTTAGAACACTAGATCCCAAAATTGTAAATAAAGAAAAACTTATATCAGTACAAAAATAAAATTATATACAATGAAAGGATAGAATGTAACTGTAAAAATGAAAATTAAAAGACAAAAAAAAAAGAGAGAGAAGGAAAACAGACAGGTGAACAGAACAAAACAATACACTATATCCTGAGTGTATTTTGGTCTGTTTTTTAGAAGAAACTACATCCCAAAATGGTAAAGAAAGAAAAACTTATATATGCACATAAATAAAATTAAATACAATGAAAGGATAGAATGTACTTGTGTAATTGTAAAAGTGAAAATTAAAAATAGCCTTAAAAAAGAGTTGATAAAATAAGAAATTTGTTGAAAAAGGAAAGAGAAAAAAATTAAAATCGAAAGATTAAAGAATCATGGGGAAAAAGCCATGAATTCTAGATACAATTTTTCTTTAGCACTGGAGTTTTATAGTTATTTGTGATCAGTAAACTTGGTCTTAGCTAGATGTTCTTGCTGATCTTCTGGGGGAAGGGGCCTGTTGCTCTGATTCTCACATGTCTTTGCCCCTGGTGGAACTGAACCACCCTTCCCAGGGGGCTAGGCTAAATAAGTGACTCCGGGTTGCTCTAGGTGGCTTTTGTTCCCTGAAGGCTTTCAGTGCCACAATAGAGGATGAGAATGAAAATGGCAGCCTCCCAATCTCCAGTCCCAGAGCTGAAAGCTTACTCCCCCCCAGTACTCAGTACCCCCTCAGGGAAAAGCAATCAGTCACTCCTGTCTCCTTGGTCTCTGTCTACCCTCCATGCTCACTCAGACACATGATCCCACTTCAAGTCTCCAAACCCTACAGACTCCTGCAGCAGACACCTGTGCCGCTCCTGGGGCGGGGGGGGGGGAGGCGAGGGAGATGTTTACCTTGGTTCTGCCACTTGCTGGGCCCCTGCTCAGAGAGCAGTAGCCTGATTGTACTGTGGTTTGGGGGGTTATGGCAACCCTGAGCTGAGTGTCCATTCGTGGACTTGCTGATTGCAGCTGGCTTTCCTGCTCAGATGCCTGGGAACTCTGCCACACTCAGGCATGACTGTTCTTTCTTGACCCCAGGGATCCTGAGACCATGCTGTCCCACCCAGGATTCTGCCCTGCTTTGCCACCTTAATGCCTTTCAGGCAGAGATGTTCCCCACTGGAGAAGACTTCTAAAAGTTCTGATTTTGTGCTCCACGGCTATATCACTTTCTGGTAGCCGGCTGATGGAGGCTCCCTTCCCCCACGGTTTATCTTCCCATATATTGCGTTGGATTCACTTCTCCACACTCCTACCTTGCAGAAAATGGTGGCTTCTCTATTTGCAGAGTTGCAGCTATTCTTTTTTCCGATCTCCAGTTGACTTTACAGGTGTTCAGAATGATTTGATAGCTATCTAGCTGAATTCCTGGGACCAGACGAAACTAAGGTCTCCTATGCCTCCACAATCTTGGACCTCTTCTCTACCAATTTGGATACCATTTATTTCTTTTTGTTGTCTGATTGCTATGGATAGGACTTCTTTGTATTATAAATCTACTTTTTTGGGGTTTTTTCTTATGAATGGATGTTATACTTTGTCAAGTGCTTTTCTTCATCTATTGAAATGATCATATGGTTCTTACCCTTTCTCTTATTGATGTGATATTGATTTGTGAATATTGAATGACCCTTGCATCCCAGCAATAAATTCCATGTGTTTGTGGTGAATGACTTTTTAATATATTGTTGAATTTGAATTGCTAGTATTTTGTTGAGGATTTTTGCCTCTATGTTCATCAGATATATTGTCCTGTAATTCTCTTTTCTTTCCCTTTTTTTTTTGGTGTCCTTATCTGGTTTTGATATCAGGTGATTATGGTCTCATAGAATGGACTAGGAAATTTTCCTTCTTTCTATTTTTTGGAATAGTTTGAGAAGAATAGGTATTAACTCTTGTTTACATGTTTTGTAGCATTATCCCCTGAAGCCATCTGGTCCTGGACTCTTGTTTGTTGGGAACATTTTTTTTTATTACTGATTAATTTCATTTTGCTAGTAATAGATTTTTTCAAATTTTTTTTGTTTCTTCCTGCCTCAGTTTTGGTAGGTTATACGTTTCTAAGAATTTATGCATTCTTTCTAGGTTGTCCAATTTGTTGGCATATAATTTTTCATAATATTCTCTTATAATTCTTTGTGTTTCTGTAGTGTTGTTTGTTATTTCTCCTCTTTCATTTCTGATTTTTTGGGGGGGTCCTCTCTCTCTCTTTCTTTTCTCTCTCTCTCTCTCTTTTTTTAATCTGGCTAGAGGTTTATCAATTTTGTTGATATTTTCAAAGAATCAGCTCTTGGTTTTATTGATCTCTTTTACTGTTCCTTTAGTTTCTATATAACTTATTTCTGCTCTAATCTTTATTATTTCCTTTCTTATGCTGGTTTTGGGTTTTGTTTGTTGTTCTTTTTGTAGCTCCTTTAGGTACAAGGTTAAGCTGTTTATTTGAGATTTTTCTTGCTTTTTGAGGTAGGCCTGCATTGCTACAAACCTCCCTCTTAGAACTGCTTTTTTTTCTGCATCCCAGAGGTTTTGGACTACTGTGTTTTCATTTTTATTTGATTCCATGTTCTTTTTGATGTCATCTTTGATTTCTTGGTTGACGCATTTATTGTTTATTAGTATGTTATTTAACTTCCAGGTATTTATGCTCTCTCCAGACTTTTTTCTTGTGGTTGATTTCTAGTTTCATAGCACTGTGGTCAAAAGAGATTCGTAGTATGACTTTGATCTCCTTGAATTTGTTGAGGCTTGTTTGTGGGCTACTAGGTGATCTATTCTGGAAAATGTCCCATGTGCCCTTGAAAAGAATGTGTATTCTGCTCTTTTAGGATGGAATGTTCTGAATATGTCTGCTAAATCCAGTGTGTCATTCAAAGCCACTGTTTCCTTGTTGTATTTCTGTTTGGATGATCTGTCCATTGATGTAAGTGGGGTGTTAAATTCCCCTATCGTTATTGTATTACTAACAATTATTTTCAGTTACTATTTCTTCAAAAAATTTCTGCTCCCTTTTCTCTCTCTTCTTCTAGGGTCCTCATAATGCAAATATTTTATGCTTGATGCAGTCACTAAGTTCCCTAAGACTATGCTCAATTTGCATAATTATTTTTACTCTCATTTGCTCAGCTTGATTACTTTCCAGTACTCTGCCTTCCAGGTTATTAATTCTTTCCTCTTTTTCATCTACCCTGTTATTTTTTCTATTGGGTGTATTTTTAATTTCATTTATTGTGTTCTTCATCATCTTTTTCTTAAAGAGTCTCACTGATGTCCTCCACTCTTTTCTCAAGTCCAGTGAGTGTCTTTATGATTACTACTTTAAATTCTCTATCAGGAATATTACTTATATCTGTTTTGGTGAGGTCTCTTACTGTGGTTTGGTCTTGTTCTTTCATTTGGGGTACATTCCTCTGTCTCCTCATTTTTTCTCCTTGTTAGGAAAGTCAGCTATTTCTCTTGCTATTGGAAATAATGGCATTATGAAGAAATGCTCCTTTAGTACCCTGAAGTACAGTGTTCCCTATTCCCCAGGACCTGAGGCTTCAGTGAGTGTCTCCTATGTGTGTTGCCTGAACTTTGTCTCTTTTTCCTTCAATAAAGTTGTCTGCAGAGGCTCTCTTTGCCTGTTGTGCATAGTGTGTTGTCCATGGCGGGGTGCAGCACATTTTAACAAAGTGTGTGCTGGTCTTCTTGTGAAATGAGACCTGCTGCCACCATTACTGCAGGAACTGAGGTCCCATAAAACTCGTGGGTCTGTTGACTGGGTGTTGGTGGGTTTTGCACTGGTCTTCTGGGGGTGGGCGGGGGCCATGGCACCAGGATTGAGGCAAGCATGACTGGGGAGGGCCAGTCCACTGAAGCACGGAGGGTGGGGCTTGGTGTAGGCAAGTTAAGTATCAACTTTCTTTGCACCATGCTGTTTCCTGCGGGTGGCCCTGTGTTTATACTGGGGTTTTGGGGAGGAAAATGGCACCTGACAGCTTCTTTGTTCCTGGAGGCATTTCTCTATGATCCTTGCTTCTCCGAATGATGCTCTGAGATGAGTAAATCCCTCTCCCTCCTGTCTGTCCCTGGTATTTTTCAAACTGCTGCTTCCATGCTATATCTCTGCTGGCTATTTGTCTTGCTGTCTAAGAGTAGGAACTCAGCTTCCTAATGCCCTCTGGGTTCAACCAGAGCCTAGCTGCTGATTTTTAAAATTCCAAGCTTTAAGTCCCACTGGTTGTAAGAATTCATAAAATTTGGCTCCTCTTGCTTTTAAAGCCAAATATTATGGGGATTTGTCTTTCCTGTGTGGGCTCCTCAGAGTTCATTTTTAAACTACATTTTCCTAAAGTTAGTAATCTACCCTGTAGTCATGATAAAAGGTATTGCTTGTGTAAATCCAGATTTGAAAATAAAATTGCAAATCAAAACAACTTTGAACTACATCAAGAGGTAGATCTAATAATTATAAGACAAAAAGAATAAGATATTAGTCAAAGTTCAGGTAATTCGTGGAAAAGGAGTAGAATATTAGAATTGCAGGTAACAGAGTAAATGATTGTTTGATTTCTTAATAATTTCTGCACTATGATAGCAATTTTACTATTCTCAAGTGGATAGTTTTTAGTGTTTCTTCTTGTATAGCCAGTAGATGACACCAAAAATGTATTGTAGCTGACACTGACTGGGCATTGCTGTCATCTAGATGTCTCTATATTAATTTACCATACTTTCAGTTTTTAATATTTTTTAAAGATGAGTAATTGGAACTTTATTTATATTTTCAGTTGCAAAAGGTTCTACTCTTCTGTGTACACAAGAAGTGAATATGCATGAAGATGATTTTGGAAACTGTAGAAGAGAATTTTGTAATTTTAGGTGTGTATTTAGAAAATTATACCTTTCCCAGTTGTGTTTGTGTGTTTGTACTGCAAAGAGTTGTTTAATACAAATGAGAAATGAATGCATTATATACAGACAAATATTTATGTTGCACTTCCTAAGATTGTTTTGTTTTGAGTAGCTTTGGTGCTATGATCTGTAACATAGTCAATTATCCTCATATTTTGAACTGTTATTTCCCTTATATTTTTGTCCTTAAGTGACATTTAGATAATTTTTTCTGCCTTATTGCCAGGGATATCCTTTGTGGAAAGATAGTTTGTCACTGGACACGTTTAGAAATAATACCATTTAAAAAATTTGATATTCAGTATACTTACATGGAAGGCCATCTGTGTGTCTCTGCGTATTTAAGAATACCAACAGCACATGTAACAGAAGATTATACCTATACATCAAATGGCACTATGTGTGGTCCAAATATGGTAAATAACATTTTGACTTGATTATATATGTGGTGTGTGGGTGTCTGTGTGTGTGTATGTGCACATGCACACATACAGGAAACAGAGAAGAGCTTAACATTTGTTTTTATAATTAATATTACAAATTTTGGTTACTACATCAGGATCTTAAGATTTAAAGTTCAGAATTTCTGTTGGTCAAAGGAACGCTTGCTTCACTATCATTTTGTTTATTATGAATTTTGCTATAGATATTTAAACTTGTTTTCTCATACTTGAGAATATTAGCCTCTTCATTAGGCTAGGATCTGGTCTGCAAAAATTTATAGAAACAACAAAAAAGAATCAAGTGATACAGCAAAAAAGTAGGTGAAAATAATCTGAATAATAAGAATAACAAAGAAAACAAAAATAGCCAAGTATTTAGTCCTGCAATAACTGACAAGGAAGAATTAAATAGCTATTTGCTCATTAGTCAACTCCTCTAATTTTTCTTCCAAAAGCATAATAAATACTTGTTAAAAATTTGGCCCTCCCACAAGACACAATAATAAAATGGAGTTTAAGCTTTATTTTTCTTTTCCTTAAATAGCTTAAGAAACAAAATAAAGGATCTTTAAACTATGACCATTGAAAAATTAGTTGACCAACGTAAAACACCACTCAAGTATCTCCTGTTTAAATTTAGATAATTTACATTGAGACACAATATTTTAAGAAATGAAAAATAGAGGGAAATGGAGATGAATAGTAAATTTATTTCAAAATGGGAAAAAGTATTCTTGCATAAAAATAATGAAATAATCACAAAAGAACACATAGTGCTGACTACCTTATAAAATGATATGTTACCCCTTTAAGGATTATTTCAGACAAACTGAAAAAATGTTTGCTATAAATGTGAGAGATTAAACATAAATTTATCAGCTAATTTAATCATTCATTAATTAGAAAAAAAAGCACTCAGGGCACCTGGGTGGCTCAGTTGGTTAAGTGACTGCCTTCAGCTCAGGTCATGATCCCAGGGTCCTGGGATCAAGCCCCATGTCAGGCTCCCTGCTCAGTAGGGAGCCCGCTTCTCTGGCTCCCTTTCCCTCTCCCTCTACCCCTCCCCAGCTCATGCTCTCTTTCTCTCTCTCTCTCAATCTTGTGCTCTCTCTCTCTCAAATAAATAAATAAAATCTTTAAAAAAAAAAAAGAAAAAAAACACTCAAGTGGTATATATGTGGTATAACACACAAAAACAGTTCGATTTTTATCCCTGATTTCTGGCACAGAGCTCCTAAACCCTTTGGAATTTCCTGAGTAATAGGAATGTTTTTTTTTGTTTGTTTGTTTGTTTGTTTGTTATTCATAAAGAACCTCTTCCAATCAAACTACATTTATGCTAATGAAGTGACAGGATGAGGCCTCTAGATAACTTTATGACAGAGCTGAACACTAGTAAGACCAAGTGATTAAAGAGTTGTAACTTTCAGCCTCATCATAAGCTTCAGGAAGGGAAGTAGTGTGGCTAGAGATTGAACACTATAAAACTTTTGAACAATGAGATTTAGTGTGCTTCCAGGCTGGTGAAATAAATACAGACTACATGAATATCCAGTTACTGTTTTTGTCTAATCAAATAGTTGAAAATAATAATTGATGATGAGAAGCATAACTTATTATCATCCTAAAACAAATATAAATTAACACATACTTTTTGGAAAGTGATTTAGAAATGTGTATGGAGTCAAATATATTGTTACACGTTTTTATTGATTTTTAAAAATTATTACTTGTTACTACTTTTAATTGACATATCATTGAAATATAGCATTACCTTAGTTTCAGGTGTACAACATAGTGATTCAATATTTGTATATATTGTGAAATAATGACTGCAAGAAATCTAGTTAACATCCATTACTATACATATTTACAAAAATTTTTTTATTATTTTGAGAATGTTCAAGTTTTACTGTCTTAGCAAGTTTCAAATATGCAATAGTGTCATTAACTGTAGTCACCATACTATACTGTAATTCCCATTACTTATTTATTTTATAACTGAAAGTTTGCAGTTTTTGACCCCATTCACCCATTTTATCCACTCCCCCAGACCCCCAGCATTGGGAACTACCAATCTGTTCTCTGCACCTATGAGCTTGGATTTTGTTGTTGTTTAAATTATACATACAACTAAGATCACACAGTATTTGTCTTTCTCTGCCTGACTTATTTCAATCAACTAGCGTTGTCAAGGTCCATTCATGTCACAAATGGCAAGATTTAATTCTTTTTTATGGATAAGTAATATTCCCTTGTGTATATTTGCTAAATTCACTTTATCCATTCATTCATCAGTGGACACTTAGGTTGCTTACATATCTTGGCTACTGTAAATAATGCTGCAATGAATATGAAGGTGCATATATATTTTTCAGTTACATGTTTTCATTTATTTTGGATAAATACCCAGAAGTAGAATTGCTGTATCATGTGATGTTTCTATTTTTGATTTTTGTAAGAACCTCCATACTATTCTACCTATTCTATCATACTATTTTCTGATTTACATTTCTACCAATAGTGCACAAGGGTTCCCTTTTCTCTGCATCTTCACAAACATTTGTTATTGCTTTTTGTCATGATAAAAGCTATTCTAAGATCCTAGGATAGAAGAAAGAATTTAAGGATGGAAAAGTATTTCAGGGAATAATGCTTGGAATGTTTCCAAATTTGGCAAAAGGCATAAATACACAGATGCAAGAAGCAAAGAACATCATATAGGATGAACCCAGTGAAATCCACAGCAGAATAGAGCATAATGAAATTTCTGAAAATTAAAGACAAAGAATCTTAGTAGTGAGAGTGAAATAACACGTACAAGAAAAATACAGTTATAACAATAACAATTAAAATAAAACATACATATGCCACAGAAGATTGCCATGCTGGTTTGTCCCACTACTGCGTATGATCACTAAAACCTTTACAGATCACTCATCTCCCCAGCAGTGAGTCTCTGCCTGGGAAAGTCTGATCATTAGCCCATGCCCAACTGGCCAATGTCCCCATGGAGGGAAAACAAAGAAAGGAGTGAGGGAGGAAGGAAATTGAAGGGAGGGGAAGGGAAGGAAAATAGGAAGGAAGGAAGGAAGGAAGGGAGGGAGGGAGGGAGGGAGGAGGGAAGGAAGGAAGGAAGGAAGGAAGGAAGGAAGGAAGGAAGGAAGGAAGGGAGGGAGGGAGGAGGGAAGGAAGGGAGGGAGGAAGGAAGGAAGGCAAGCCAACTTTTCCTACTTGGTTCCGTAGGAGCTTTCAGCTGGACTGACTTTTTACTCCCACAACATTTTTAATTAAAAACAAACAAACAAACCAACAACTGGAGTAGAATTTAGTGATTCATCAGTTACATATAACACCCAGTGCTCCACTCCAGAAATCAATATCACACTGTATGTTAACTACCTAAAATTAAAAACAAACACAAAACCCCCAACTAATTTGCAGCCTTCTCCATGTAACAGGGGTTTGTCACATGACAGTCTTCATTAGGGAACTGGCTTTTAGGCCATGGTACTTCCAGTAGTTTAATTGGATAGCGACTCTTCTAGAGGACAGACCACTTGAAAAGCCCAAATTCTATAGTCATCCTTAATTCAGTTGTTTTAGGAAACAAAATACCTTTAGAAATTTTCTCCATTGGGATAAAAGTGTTGTGTTGACTGCATTTTGTAATTGAGAGAAAGGAGAGGTGAGTAGTGAATATGAGAGCTAACTACTTCTGTGGTTTTGTGGACACTTCCATGGATAATTCCACGTTTTAGCCCCCCTGCCCAACCTGCCCTTTTGGCTCTTCTTCCTCTGCTTTTCCTTATTACTCTGAGGCTGCAGATCCTCCAGAGCATTGTGAGGCTGATCAACAAGGCTCTGTCCTTTACCATTGTATTTGATGTGGTTACTTCCTCACTTCATTTTATCTATCAGTGACTTTCATTTTATTTTGAAATCCTAGGAAGTTCTTAAATCGCTCATCTTCTAATTGCCTTGTTCTGATTCTCCTTTATTCACATTAGTTAGGAAAAGGGGAGCAATTGTGAGTGCCATGGCTGTGAATTCTATGGTTATTTAAAAAATTCATCAGATATATTTTATTTTCATTGTAATTCTACATTGTTCAGTTGATTTCAGAGTGGTTGGAAAGGAAAGAGGTCTTTACCCTTATTCTCATTAGCTGTGGGTCCTTTGTAAAAATTATCTTGATAAGAAGAGAAAGAGAGAGAGGGGAGACTTTATATCTTATTTATTAACATGAAGAAAAGTATGTCTCTTATTAATCATAACAAAATTTTAAATAAAACACATGTACATAATACTGTAATATACTGGGCAAAAAGTGTACTGTATAGAGATAAGCATTATTCCAACAATGCAAGTTTGCTTAATATTGGATGTGATAGAAAGCTTTTATGATTTTTTTTATTTATAAGACTTAGAACAGGAGAATAGTTTATCAGATTGGTTTCTAGCTCACTTAGGTAGGGTAGGGAAGATAAACACATCTCAGCACATTCATTTCAAACTTGAAAAAAGGGACATTTAACTGTCTAAAATTAGATAAGCTGATCAATGAATAAATAAATAAAATTAACTGCCTTTTTCTTACTCATACTTGGGACTATAAAAAAAATATGCTTACATGATCCAGGCATTTCTCTTTAGGAAATATGTATTTACTTATATTGTTTCTTTCTTTCTTTCTTTCTTTCTTTCTTTCTTTCTTTCTTTCTTTCTTTCTTTCTTTCTTTCTTTCTTTCTTTCCTTTCTTTTTTTCTTTCTTTCTTTCTTTCTTTCTTCTTTTTCTTCTTTCTTTTTTCTTTTTCTTTTTCTTTTTTTTTTACCATGATGTGCTACTTTGGGACACTATTTGTATCTCTTGTTCAAAGAAAGAAGTCTTGTAGATTAGTTTATATTCAAAACATCATCCCAACCATTGCCCAGGGCTAAGTACTTTTATAGTGTTTCTTACTTTTGCTGTCATTACAAAAGAGCCAGCTACAAATTGATCTGTTTACTTGAAAGAAACTGTATCAGAAACATGGGTCTTAACTTTCCCTGGATTATTTTTCCCCTAAAGACAACCCAGTGAAATATGACTAGTTTATTATTGCCTCAATGACAATGTTTAAGGAGAACTAGAATGAAGATGGTTTTATGGACAGGTAATGCTGATTTGTCCAACATTTTGTTATTCTTCCTGGCTTCATCAGAGCACTTGTAGTTAATGAACAAGCTGATATTCTTTCCTTTATGATGATTAGTTAATGGTGATAGAAAATAATGATTTTTAGGACTATTCATCATATAGTGAATATTCTACCAGATAACCTGAGAAAAGCCAACAGATAATTTTTACAGACTCCCCTGAAGATATTCAAATTAAATTAAATTTAACATAGAGCTTACATAGAAATCAGGTCAAATAAATAATAATTAAAATGATATTTTGTATGTAGTGAGGATTTACTACGTGCCAGGCACTGCTTTTGTTCCTTTACGTCTAACAAATGATTTCATCCTCATAACCTACACTTTTTTAAAATTTGGGTATAATTGCTATTCCAAATTCAAAGATGGATAAAAGGAGGTATGGGGAGATTAAATAACTTGCTTTAGTGTAAATATGAAAGGTAAGAGATATTGCCATTAAAACTGGAAAAATATAAAAATATTAGAAAATGACAAGAACACTTATTTAGCATTGATCAATATGTGGTTCTGTGACAAAAGGAGTTCTTGCACTGAACATTGGCTCTCGATAACTTGTGCATGAATTTAAAAGAGTAGATTTATTATCATCAAATATAAAATGAGGAAAAAATATTTCCTTTGAGTATATATGAGTATGTATTATAAAGATATATAGAAAGTGCAAAGATAAATCCAAGCTCATTATAAATGGTCAGTACAACTTGGCTATTTTTGTTCTTATACCAATTAGTATCAATATATCCATAAAATCACAGCTCCCTCATAGGAAAGAAATTGTATCTCATTTCAAAATTTTATATTTGGTAAAGTAATAACATGCTATTTGGACTCCCAACTCCCAAGTTCTTCTTTTAGAATGAGTAGATGTCATGAAATCCAGATTCATATTATATATATTTTATATGAAATATAAATATAAAATATATTGTGCATTTAATTTTTGTACCAAGTACAAATGCTCAACTCAGCTTTACATTTACAGGTTTTGTTGTTTTTTGTTTTAACATTTTAGTATTGTGACCAGGGACGTTGTTCTTCTAGGAATTCATACACACAGAGAACAAATTGTGACTCAAACATAAATTGCAGTGGACATGGGGTACGTAATGGTTATTTCATTTCTATGTATAGCTATTTTCATTCATGTCAGTAACATTGTCCAAGATAATGGGGTTTAGAATTATTTGATACAGAAATTTCTTTGAAAATTTGCAGTTAAAATAAGGAAAGTAGATTCTATTATTTATACATATATATATGATTTATGTGTTCAATCACATTGTTATAAGCCTCATGAGCTTTGAACTTTGTACAAAAATGCAATATGAAATAAATTCATTTCTCAATTGAATTTATTAAGGATTACTCATACACATTTAACATACATGTAAATATTGCTTGTGGTTAAGTGTATGTGTACTGATAAATATCTGAAAACACAATATATTTATATTACACATATTATAATCTAATATTTTTGTGAGAGCAGACTTTCTTGTTTATACATATCTCATTCATCCTTTAGTTGTTTCAATTTATTTCCCTGTATGTCTCCTCCATACTATATTTTTAAAAATCATTCACTGATGGACTTTTGGATAATGTTAACTTTTACTTAACTATGGTTAAGTAGTGGGGCAATGGACATTATGGTACAATCACCTTTGCACATTTGTCTGACTTCTTAAATTGTTAATGAAATGTATGAGTGGCTACATTTATGTACCATTTAAATTTTTATATATATTATATTGTGTTTAAGGAATATTATACCAGTTTTTGCTCCCACCTATCAGGTATAAAAATATGCATTTCCTCAAATTCTGGCCAGACTAGCATCTCAGTTTTTTTAAATCACTTTTAACATGCTAAATCCATTGCTAATTTATATTTACTTAATAATACAGTTTTTAAGCACAATATATGTATGGTCATATTTGCCATTTGCATTTTTATTTGTCCATCCATTATGAAATTATCTACTAGGGAATAGAAATTATGTAAACTCTGTTTTTCTGAACATACATGTAGGCTTTAACTTTGTGGCTGGTGTCTCTTGCCATATCAATGCTTCATATTTTATATAATAATCTAAGAATAAAGTGACCTACTTGCATGTCTTGTATCAAAATTTTCTCCCCAATCATTTACATACTCTATTAATCATTTCCTTTCTATTTATTTCCTTTCTTATTTAAATTTAATTTAATTTCTTATTTAATTTTTGCATGAACCTACTTCTAGATTCTCTAGTCTGCTTCTGATCCTTCTTTCAATTCTTCCACCAGATCACATTTGGAGGTATTTTCCAGCCTTCCTATTTCTAGGAAAATACATTTTGGTATCTGTATCTCATTAAGCAAACTTCTCCTTTTGTTTTTTTCCACATTTTTTTGGTAAAAGTTTGTTTTTACAACAGCTATTTTTTAACTTAACCCTATTCAAAATAAACTTTAACTCTTACTATTTTATATTTTTTATTGAAATATAGTTGGCACACAATGTTACATTAGTTTCAGGTGTAAAATAGTGATTCAACCCTGTACATTATGCTATGCTCACCACAAGTGTAGCTACCATCTGCTATTATAATATCATTGACTATATTCCCTATGCTGTACTTATCATCCCATGACTTACTCATTCCATAACTGAAGCTTGCATCTCCCACTCCCCTTCACCCATTTTGCCCCTTCCCACCACTACTTTGCTTTCTGGTAACCACCAGTTTGTTCTCTGTATTTATAGGTCTAATTCTGCTTTTTTGTTTGCTTATTCATGTTATTTTTTAGATTCCATATATGAGTGAAATCATATGGTATTTGTCTTTCTTAGTCTGACTTGCTTCACCTAGCACAATACCTTCTAGGTCCATCCATGTTGTCAAAAATGGCAAGATCTCTCTCTCTCTCTCACTCTTTATGGCTAAGTAACATTCCATTTTATATATATATACCACATCTTTATCCATTCATCTACTGATAGCCACTTAGGTTGCTTCCATATCTTTGCTAGTGTAAATAGAGCTGCAAGAAACATTGGCATGCAATATACCTTTTCTAATTAGTGTTTTTGTTTTCACTGGGTAAAGAGTAGTTTTAGAATTACTGGATTGTGTATATTTCTATTTTTATTTTTTGGAGGAAACTCCATAATGTTTTTGACAGTGACTGTACCAATTTACATTCCCACCAGAAGTGCACAGTGGTTCCCTTTTCCCCACATCCTCACCAATACTTGTTTTTCTTATTTTGATACTAGCCATTCTGACGGGTGTGAGGTGACACCTCATTGAGGTTTTGATTTACATTTTCCTGGTGATTAGTATAATTTTTTGGTTCACAATTTTATGCCTTTCTGGAATAAAGCATTTCAGTTGTGTCAAGAAGGCCATATACTGTTATTTAAAAAATATATGAGACAAAAGAAAATCTCTATGACATTTGAAAGGCATAATTGCAATAAATTGCATGGGAATTTATTGTATTACATTTTATTTTAAAAAATATTTTCCACATTAAGTAAAAACCATCTATAATATATAAATTACAATACTTCAATAATTTACATTAACTAACAGAGTAATGCATTTAATTTTTATGTTGAACATAAAATGTTATTTTTTTATTTGGTTCTGATTTCAGGTTTGCAATAATATGCTTAATTGTCACTGTGATGTTGGATATTCTCCTCCACTTTGTAGACCATCACGAACATCACCAGGAGGAAGTATTGATGATGGGTTTTGGAGTAAGGGAAGTAAGTACCTAGATGAGTGTGCTTCAAGGAGCTTTCTGCCCTTACAGAAATGGTCTACATCTCCACTGAATATGTGGCTATAGAGCACCTGACATATGGATAGTGCAACAGGAAACTAAGATTTCCATTTTATTTTACTTTATTTAAATTTAAGTAGCCACTTGTGGCTTGGTGGCAACTATATTAAACAGTACAGCTCTATCTCATACTGACAAACAAAATTTTGTATATGTTTTTAATTTCACTCAAGAAGTGAACATTTTAATAGACCTCTCTTTAGTTTTAACCATGGTTACCAAAAACATTATATATATATATATATATATATATATATATATATATATATATATATATATGTATATGTATAGCAGAATTTTCTAGATAGGTATAGTTGAATTATACAATAGGTGATAGTTTTATTATATACTCCGCATATTCCCAGAATGTTAACTATCATGATGTGCTAGTTTGCAACCAAGTTTCATCTTTTAAGTTTCCCTTTTCAAAAGGGAAAAGTAATCAGATCTTCCATATCCGTTATGTATGGATAGTAGATGGTACAAACCATTTTAAAATTTTATTTGGTGAACATTCATGAACAAATATAGCATAGTTTTTTTCTAAACTTCACAATGTATATATCTTAACAGTATAATTTCATTAATGTCTTTACATCATTTGCATTTTTACTCTATATTTTATTTATATATGTTGTAAATCTGACAGTACATTATTATATTTGCCTTAAATAGACAATGGAATTTTAAAGTTTTTTAATATAAATATTTACATTTACTCATCCATTTACTGTTTTCAAGGGCTTTTCAATTCTTCTAGGACATTCAAATTCCATGTGGGCATTTTCTTTCTCTCTGAAAAACTTCCTTTTGTACTTCTACCTTATGATGAGCAATTATCTCAGCTTTTGTTTTTAAAATGTTTTTTATAAAATTGTCTTAATTTGTGAAGAGTATTTTCACTGGAATTAGAATTCTACATTGAGAATTTTTTCTTTCAGCTGTTCAAAGATGTAATCCAATTGTATCCAAGCTTACATTTTCTGATGAGAATACAGTGTCATTCTTATTACTCTATTCATCCCAATAATATAATGCTTCCTTTATTCTTTAAGTTTCAGACTTCTTTTATATGTTTTTTATTTTATATGTTTATATTTTTTATGTTTATATGATTTTCCACAGTTTCACTACAATTTATCAAGACATGTTTCTCTTTGAATTTATCCTGCTTGGGGTGGCTGTGATCCTTGAATATATAGCTGACAGTGTTTTTGGAAATTTTGAAAAACCTCTTAGCTGTTGTCTCTTTTTAAATATTTTTTATTAAACATATTTGCATTTAAAAAATGATATACAGTGACATTCACTCTGTGGTATATAATTAAATGAGTATTGAAAAAATGCACATACTTTTGTTCCCACTGCCACAGTCATGATACACCATAGATCTATCACCTCAAAATGTCCCTCTGGCTGCCCCTTTGTGTTCATTCCCGACTGCCAATTCCTGGCAACAAATTACCAGTTCTCGTCTATATAGACTTGTCTTTTCCAGAATGTCATATACAGTACATGCACATTTGAGATACATTCCTGTTGCCACGTTTTAATAGGTGTTTTTTTTTATTTTGTTTTTGTTTTTTTTTTAAGTAAGCTCCAGGCCCAAACTGGGGCTTGAACTGAGAACCCTGAGGTCATGTGCTCTACCAACTGAGCCAGCTAGGTGCTGCTAATAGTTCATTCTTTCATTGTTAGGTAGGCTTCTTTTTTTTTTTAATTTTTTATTTAAATTTTAGTTAGTTAACATATAGTGCAATATTGGTTTCAGGAGTAGAATTCAGTAATTTGGGGCACCTGGGTGGCACAATCAGTTAAGTGCCTGACTCTTGGTTTCTGCTGATGTTGTGATCTCAAGGTTGCGAGATTGAGCCCTGTGTCCAGGGTCTGTGCTCAGCTCAAAGTCTGCTTAAGACTCTTTCTCCCTCTGTCCCTCTCCCCCACACCCTCTCTTTTTCATATAAATAAATAAATCTTTAAAAAAAATCCAATAATTCATCACTTACATACAACACCCAGTGCTCATTACAAGTGCCCTCTTTAACAACCATCACACATCTAGCCCATCCCCCACCCATCTCCCTCCATCAACACTCTGTTTTCTTTTTTTTTTAAAGATTTTATTTATTTATTTGAGAGAGAGAATGAGAGAGAGAGAGCACATGAGAGGGGGGAGGGTCAGAGGGAGAAGCAGAC